TTGATTTTCATTTTCCTTGGGTGTCATCTCTTTGCCTTGTTTAGATATCATGGTAATTCTAGCCTCGTAGAATGAATTAAGTAGAAATTTTAGAGAATTTTCATTCTTTCACACATTACTATTTTATGAGCTTCACCAGTGAAGTCACGGAAACCAGCGTGTCCTTGTGGGATTTGAACTTCAAATCCAGTGTTTTAATAAACTCAGGACTCTTTATCATATCTATTCTTGAGTGAGGTTTGGCAACCTTTGGTTTTTAAATATGTGCTCATTCTATCTAATTTGTTAAACAGATTGGCATAAAGTTGTACATACTATTCCTTTATCATCCTTTTAATATCTATAAATTCTGGTGTGACACAATCACTTTTATTCCTAATGCTGGTAATTCCTCCCCGTCATGCAGTCATGGGGCGGGCTCCTAGAGTTTCCATTGACTCAGGTCCCGTGCTGAGCTCACAGGCCCTCGGTGACCACCTGCATGTGACACAAGGGACAGAAAGAGGCTTCTCCCCACACTCCTCCCTCTTTGCTCTTGTTCCTTTGCTGTCTTCTGTCTCCATGAACTGCTGTCCTCTGCCATGATAGCCTGCCTCGGAGCCAGCAAGAAACTGGCTGAGACCTCCACAAACTGTGAGCTAAACAAACCTCTCCTTCCTTCATTTTGGGTGTTGGGTATTTTGTCTCAGCAATGAGAGAAAATTAACGAAGACGGCTATGAGTTTAATTTTTCTCAAGGAAGCACTTTTAAGTTTCCAGTTTCATCATTTTATTGTATTCAAATCATTGATTTCTGCTCTGATCATTATTACTTCTTTTTCCCTGCTTATTTTGGGTTTAATATTTCAATTATGATATCAAGTGGTGTCATTTCAGTGAACTAAGGGCATCTTTGCAATTGTAATTTGGGGCTATACACAGAGAACAATTAGGTTCAGGTCATGGAGTTTATAATATTTTTATAATGGTCACCGGAAGTTAACACAGGAAAATGCAGGAAATCTATCCACAACACCAAATACATAGATTATTTAGTCAAGAGCTAAAACCCACAGCAATGTCTCGCATGAGTCCAGATAAAAATCCAGAGCTCAGGACAATGCCTCCCATGAGTCCAACTGGAGGCCCAGAGCCCACAAGAAGGACTCACGCCAGTCTCTTTTATGGATGTGAGCCGGAAGTCCCAAGTGTCAGCCGTGGAAGCCAGAAAGTCCATGCCAGCAGAATGAAGGAGCTGTGCTAGTGGGATCAGGGTTCTACACTGGAGCCGAGAAGTCACACTCACAGCAAAGAGCAGGGCTATCCTGAAAGGCACCACAGCCATCCTCAGCGACACGGAGGCCCCGAGCTCCTCCGAAGACAAGCACAGTCGGGTACATGCCAGGAAGCCAGCGTGACGAGCTCATCCTGGAGACCAAGCAGCATATGTCTTCCCCTCCGGAGCCAGGAAGCAATGCTCGATGTGAGGACCAAGGCTTCTCCAGGAGAACCCTCAATGCCTCCTTAACACCTCAACCCTCAAGCCTCCTTCTCCTCCACCTATTTATCCTGGCAACTTTCCTCAGGTGGAGCATCTTTGCTCCCCGCTATGCTGATGTAATCCAGCTGGCGTTAAGTTGCCCTCCAGTTCTTAATCCATAACACTGGCTAATTAACTGCCTCAAGAGGGCTTTAAGTGTCAAAGCCTCCATGAGGAGATGAGGGAAACAAGTGCTGAGTCACTTAAGGACAAACAACCTGTCATGCTCTGCTCTCATCTGTTAGAGAAACTTAGAACTTTCCCAGTGGTATGGTACCCTTTCGCCCTCTGAAATTCATGTGGAAATGTAATTCCCATGGCAAGATACTAAAAAACGAGGAAGACTGGGGCCCTTCGGAGGTTATTAGTGGTCTGCTCTTAGGAACTGAGCATTAAACCCGAGGTCATCCTGGGTAAACTGAGCTTTGCCAGTGGACCTGGCATAAAACGGATCCTGCCGGGCCTCTGCAGAGTTCCCTGTTTGTTGTCAGGAGCTGCTTTGCACCACACAGGGCTCTGTCTACAGTAGAGTACTTCTAGATGTGGCCCCTGCACCTCTGCCAGAGTAGTGAGCCCAGGGAATGCTCTTCCTTTATACTCACCAGCCTGTGGTGCTGGATCACTAGCAAGAGAGGAGGAAGAGGCGGAGTACGGGGGTCACCAGGGCAGAGGCCACTGAGCTGTTCCAACATCAGATCAGCACTGGCCCACAGCCAAGGTTGGAATTTGGAAATCTCTGGGTCAGAATGAAGTTCAGCCCACGCAGCCAGAGGGATGGTCTGCAGTCCACCATCAGGTCTGGACTCAGGGGATCGAGAGCAGAGACACCAAAAAGCAGCAGAAGGAAAATCCCCTTACTATGTGAATATGGCGGGGTTTGGGGCACCACTTGGTCTGAGATGAGGTGACCCAACGGCCTGACTGCAGGTAGATCCATCGGTCTGATCCAGGGGAACAAAATTCTCCCCCTACTTTATTTCCAGAAAGAGATCATGCTCTCTAAACACAAAGAATGAATTTTAGAAACAGTAGAGGTTCACAGCAGAAATATTTATTTAGAGAAAGAAAGCTTCTGTCTGAGAGAGAGACAGCAGGTTCCCAAGTTGGTTACAAAAGATTGTGTATTTTCTCAGGATTTTATAAGTAAAAACATGAGGTGAGGCGGGTCTCAAGTTGGGGAAAACTGGGAACTCTTGAGGTAGATGGCAAGAGGTGGGACAGAGCTATGGTCAACCAATAAGTTTAATTGCTCAGGTAAAATGGACCAAATCAGCAAGCCAGTATTCTTTAGGGATCAGTGACTGTTCCAATAGGTGTTGGGGTGGTGACTCCTGGCTTCTCAAGGTGATCCATACCTAATCCCTAAGGGTTATACTTAGGCCGTGGTTGCATTTGTTTTGTCTTCTACCTTGGGGTCTGGCCCACAGCAAGAGGTATGTGTCTCCTCCAAGCTCACAACACATCTGGTCCTCTGGGCCAGCCTAGCCCTGTCTGACTGCCTATAGCATTTTTAACTAGCTCAGCTGCCTGTAACATGTCCACCTACCTGTTCTCACAGTGCTGACGGTCTGCTGGCATGTTACATAACCCAGAACTTCAATCTTGGGAGGATCCTGAACTCATCATAGAGATGAAAAAGCAAATTGTGACCCCCACACTTAAAAGTCTCATGCAAAGCTCAGCAGTAAATAAACCAGTTACACAACTGTAAAGCAAGGGAAGGTATTTACATAGACCTTTCTCAGGGAAAGACCTTCAGAATGTCAGCAAGCACAGGAAACGTGCTGGGTGTCAGCTCACCAGAGATGAGCAGCTCAAAACCACGTGGAGACCACACATGACAGCCAGCAGAGGGACTGGAAAAGAAAGGCGGCAGAGAGGGGGTGAAACAGATGGTCACCTTTAAATTTACAAGAAAACTGACTATGGTAAAAGACACAAGGCCAAGAATGGTGGCACCACGTGCTCTCTGAGGCGGGAAGTGTTTTGCACATTTTGAAGGGGATCAAAAGCAATGTATCTTTCACTGTAATACATGTTTAATTTAAAGATTTGTCACAGTTTGTCATCTGCCCACTACATTCTGGGCAGGAACCTAATGTTACACAGTATTGTGCAGTTGCCAAATATTCAGATACATCTTCAAAAAGTTAAATATGGAGTTAATATGTAGCCCAGAAATTCCATTTGAAAGTTTACACCCAAGATAAGTGGAAGGAAGCAAGTTGACCTACAGAATTGTACACGGATAACTCACAGCAGCGTTAGTCACAAAGGACCAAAGATGGAAACCCTCCAAATGTGGGCCATCCATAAAGAAACAAATCGTTGGTGGTAGTTTCTTGAAACAAAGTCTTCCCATGTGTTCTAGGCTGGCTTTGAACTCATCATGGAGCAGAGCCTGCCCTAGACCCGTGGTGATGCTCCTGCCTCAGCCTCCAGAGTGCTCACAGGTCCACTGCACCCAGCTTGTAAAATGTGCTGTGAATCTAAGGAATTTCTGAATGAAAATCAGGAGAGGAAAAGCCATAAATGACTTATGCTGACCCACACTGGTCAGAGGTGAGGGCAAGGGCAAAGGGACACCAGCCCAGTCCCGGGTGGTCCACATGGGAGTCTGCTGATTGGTTTCACCAGCTGCAAGGAGATGCAGCCCCATGGTCACCCCTCCTTAGTGAGGGAAGGAGCAGGAAAGGTTTTTCTGTCCAGTGTCCCCCACCCCCAGCCCCCATCCCCTGCTCACCCCCTTTGTTGGTTTAACTTGAAGGTGTCAGTTAATAGAAACTCTGTCTTTTCCTTTTCCTCTTCCTGCCAGTAACCTAACTCTGGAATTTCAGGATTCTTCCCTTGTCAGTATTATGCTGGGTATGTTCCGTTTTAAGAAGGGTGTTTGTGAGGTCCAGGAATTTAGCTGTGCCTATCTGTCAAACACTAGGTCTTAAGTTCTATCCTTGGTACCAAAAACAAAGATGTGTTTTCTTTTGTTGCGAAGTGCGGAAAAAGTTAAGGATCTCTGGATGAGGGAGGGGATGTCATCCAAAAATAGGGCCTGCACCCAAAGGGTTCTGTTAGAAGACCCCAGCTGACCTCACCTAAAGTGAGCCCTCAGAGGATCCCAGGACTGACCAGATGTGGGTTCCTGGGCAAACCCTAGGAATTCATCCCCAGGGTGCCTTGGTGTGAAGCTGGGGGAGGGGGCGGTGTGAGCTTCCCAGGCTCCTTTGCCTCCTAGAATTTGGAAAGCCTGGCTTCCTGGGTGCCTTCCCTTCTCTGGTTCCTGTTCCTTCTTAGGTTTTTGGTAGGGGCTGTAGTGGGGGTGGAACCTAGGACCTGTATACATCCCCAGCCCCCACCCCGCCTGGATATATATATATATATATATATATATTATATATAGGTATATATATATACTATACCTATATATTATATATATATATATATATATATATATATATATTTTTTTTTTTTTTTTTCTTTCTTTTTTTAAGGGGGATTCTCCCTAAGTGGCTCCTGCTGGGCTGCCTGGCCTCCCCCAGGCTGGGACCCAAGTTGCCAGGTCCAGGCTCTAGTCCAACTAAGTCCCTGGGATCTGCTTTCACTTTCTCTTTCATGGAGGCTGCATTCCTTCCAGAGCTGAGCAGTTGCAGCATGTATGCCCACACCACCCCTGCACCGCTGTGGTATCTGTAGCCCAAGGTGACCACAGGCAGGGACAGGAGGTCTAGACAAGTCGGGAAAGCCCCCGCCCCTACAACCGGAAAACTCCCCCACCTCCAGGGCCATAAAGCCCCTGGGTCCTCCTCCACCAGGCAGAGCTGCCAGCGCTCCTGCAATCCTCGGGTGAGGTCTCAGCTCCAGGGGAACAAAGCCAGGTGGGAAGGCGAGGCTGGGCTGGGCGGGGCAGGGGACAGACCTGACTGAGACCCTGGGGATGGAGCAGAGACCCGGGTAGCCGGCCCGCTGGTTCTGCAGCCACAGCTCCTGGACTGGAGGAGACAGGCAGGGCGCCTCGCGTGGAACCGTCCCGGCCCCGCCCGCGCCTGCCCTGGCGTGGCGTCCCCTGCAGCAGCCCCGCCCGGTTCTCTTCTGTCTTGTGCAATCCGGGCTCCCATTCACATGCAGTGCCCCTAAGTATCTTGGAATCCCTGCCACTCACCCCAGGAGACAAAAGCCTTCTCTCTCCTGACCCCGCGGCCTCTGAGGGACCATGTCCTTGTCCCCCACCGCCTCCAGGTTGCATCCAGGTTACTGACTTGGGCTGCATCACATCAGTGAGGGTGGCTGTGGCTGGGAGGTAGGAGGGAAAGCCATCTCAGCTGCCCTGAGATGCTGGGGGAGATCAGGGCACAGGGACCTTCTTAGTGGAAAGAGTGTCCACGCGGCCCACAGCCCACTGTGAAGGGGACATTGATGGGCAGAGGTGGCTGCAGAGCAGGGAAGGAGCACAGGTCAGCAAGAAATTAGAGGTGGGGTGTGGGGAGCTGTGTTTGATTTGCATGGTGGTGAGGACAGGCAGGTGACAGAAGGGACCATGGTAGAGGGACAGCAGGGACTCTGTAGAGAAGGCAGTGTGGAGTAGAGCAGTCGCGGTCTGCAGTGGGTGGTGGCAAGAGCTGGAGGGCCCTGGGCAGAAGAGGGGTCTCCGGAAAGGCAGGGAGGGCAGATGAGAGGGGTCAGGGAGGTCCAGCAGGTGAGCTGGGACCAGGGAGGAGAGGACCCTACAGGTCCTTAGGGAAAGTGCGGTTGATTGGGACAGAGAAAGCAAGCAGGAGAACTGGGTGCAGGGTCCTCTCCCAGTCCAGGGTTTTGGCCACGTGACTTCCGCAGCAGGGCAGGATGGAGGTGGAACTCTGAACAGGATGCAGGCTGAGCAGAGAGGTCAGCCAGGCTGGCAGCCCACCCTAGGCTCCTCAGGCTGCAGGGCAGGAGACACAGCAGCCTGGCGCCCTCTGCTGGCCCTGGTCCCAGATCCCTCCCTGTAGAGAAGGCTCTGGCCTCACAGCAGCTCTGACACAGCTGCCTCTGGCAGCAGCTCCTGTGTATTCCCAGCCTGGTGTCCATCAGAAAATCACCCAGTGACTCTCAGACACAGATGTGAGAATAAGCGAGGCATGCGCTGGGTTCAGGAACAAGTTTGGTTGTGCAGGTAAAATTGACCGACTTAGGGCCAATCGGGGAGCAGGCAGGTAGCAAGCCAGGGTTCTTCACACAGCAGTGACCCTTCCTATACAGCTGGGTCAGCGACTCCTGGCTGCTCAAGGTGATCCATACTTAGTCCCGAAGGATTATTTTTAAACTGTGGTTGCATTTGTTTTGGCCTCTATTTTGAGATCTGGCCCACAGCAAGAGATGTGTGCTTCCTCCAAGGTCCCCAGACATCTGGTCCCCTGTGCAAGCTTCTTCGAGGACCCAGCCCTGTGTGACTGCCTGTAATATTTCTAACTTAGCTGCCTGTAACACGTTTGTCCCTCCCTCCAGAGCTGAAGCATGGATGCGCTGTCCAAAGCCAACGGTGCCTTTGCAATCCAACTCCTAAAGCTCCTGGGCCAGAACAACCTTGAGCACAATGTGTTCTGCTCTCCTATGAGCATCTCTTCGGGCCTGGCCATGGTCCTGCTGGGAGCCAAGGGCAGCACAGCGGCCCAGATGGTCCAGGTAGGCTGGCATCTCCCACTCTCTTTCCAGAATGGGGCTCCTTTTTTTTTTTTTTTTTTTTTTTTTTGTCTCTGTGGTCTTTTGTGGTGGTGGCAGGACAGAGACTGTTTTCACTAAGTACCACCTCAAGGAAGACTCAAGATTTTGCCCGGCACCGAGTTTAGAAAATAAGTGGAGGCCGGGGTGGCTGGGTATAAGGGCTTGCCTGGGGTTTGATCCCCAGCACCACAGAGGGGTAAAGGAGGGCCTGCTGTAGTGGTCTGAATCAGAAGGCGCAGAGATCTGTCTCTCCTGTGCAGCACCAGCCTTTAGAGCTGTGATGGATCACTCATCGGCGCCTTGCGGTCGCAGTGACAAACAGAACATGATAGGGCCAGGCCAGACAGAAGGCCTCGATCCAGGCAGGGACCCTGGAAGCTCTAGTGAGGCATGCTCAGGTCCCCTCTGAAATGGCACAGAACCCGTTCCTGTTACGAGGAGTTCACAGCATGGGCAGTGACCAAGCGCCTGAGGGGAGACAGCTAAGGCCAGTTGTTTGCATCCTGTGCCCTGCACAGGCCGTGCTGTGCAATGTCGCTGGTCTCTGTGACCAGCTTTACCTTGAGTTCCGTGGACTGCAGCCTCCATAAGTGTGGACTGCAGCAAAGCCTTAAATCAAAGAGACAAGTGATGTGATTTTAGGGCTCCAGGAGGGTCAAAGCCCTTTGGCAGAGTTCACGTTTCAGGGGCTGCAACAGAGAACTCTGAGCATCCATATTTAGTTGGTTTTCAAACAAAGGAAGGGTTTAGAATTAAAAGTTTTGGAAACCGAGCAGGACCTGGGGATTCAGCTCAAGGGCTACTCCAAGTAATGAGTTATGCCAATTTGGGAGAACTATCTTATGTGAATTTGGGAGCCCTTGACCACTGGAGTGAGAGGGAGTATAGTTTCCAGTTAATTGGGGTGGGAGCCAGGCGTGCTCAGCTGTGGCCGTAGAGGTCATTTACTATGGATCTGCTGCCACCTCCAGATAAGGGGCATAGGCCTGGGACAGACTCACAGGGAAACACAGAGAGCCAATCAGTTCATTTAGAAGCTGCTCTGGCCTCTACCTAGTGGTCTCCAACACTTGAGGACCCTTTCAGTGGTGACAGCTCTTGGTCTCCTGTCCCTGACTCACTATGGGAGGCTGAGGCCCAGAGGGGAAGTCCCTTCTGTGGATCTGCTGGTCCTGCAGGCTCTGAGCTCCCTGAGGACCCTGTTGGGGCCTCTGCCTGTTGCCTGGCAGCTGTGTGAGCCAGGTGGGCTCCCTCCGCCCAGCTTAGTGCACCTAGGCACTGAGTAGCTGAGCACAGCCTGGGGATTATTTGTGTGGCTGTGTGGGCAAAGGCTTGCATGATGCCAGCAGAGGAAGCCAAATTTCCTATGGGCGCATTCTGCCTAGACAAACATCTGAGGACTGAAAGAATTTTCCTGCAGTCCTGCGAACTTGATTTGGTTTGAGATTTGCTGCTTTGATTGTGAGCTGTGACCTTACTTCTGCAAATGTTCTCCAATTCTTGCCAGCATCTGGCAGAACCATTCCCACAAAGCAAGTGCTGGTCAGGAGCGAGCTGCTCACAGTAACAGCCAGGCCGTATCCTACGTGAAATCCGTCTAAGTTTCCTTTTATTCAATTTTTGACATTTTCTTTTCCGTAACCTGTACGTGTTATAAAATGAATTTTTCTAGCTGTTATCTTTTCCTGTATAGACCAGTGTCATGAGGAATAAAATTATTGACTATTAGGAAAGTTTCTTTTAAAGACCACCTAATTCTTTCCAGAAATAATTCTCTGTAAATTTTCTTGTTTCTTCATTGTGATGGGTAAAGTCACAACCTCTTTTTCCAAGGTTTAAAGAATTTTTTAAATACATTTTACCTAATATGTAAAATTGTAAGAACTGCATGTGTTTGTGGAATAATGTTTTTATGCCTGTTTACTGTGTAATGTTGGAATTCGGGTAAGTATACTTGTGCACTTAGAAGCGTTACTTTTATAGAATATAGCAGCACTGTGAACTACACACTGCAGATATTTACTTAGAAAAGCGGCTTTTTCTATAACTTCTAAAAAATGAATATAAGGCCTTCACAATGAGCCAGCCCCATTAAAAAAATTGTTTATTCCAGCCCTTTAACAGTTGTTTGAGAGTCTTCCTAAGTTACCTGTGGCCGGGCTGGACTTGATCTTTAGATCTTCCTGCCTCACCTTTCAGAGTGGTGAGATCAGAGGTGCCCGCCACCCTTCCAGGCATAAAAAGTGTGTTTTCAGTAGTTACACAGGAGTGACGTTTCCATGTCATTGGTATTTCATTTGTAGTTTTAATAGAATACGTGAATGTAAGAGCCTCATTTCTGTATAATTTCTTTTTCCTGTACTCCGGGTAGAACCCAAAGTCTTCACCCTGAGTAACATTCTCAGCCCTTTTTATTTTGGGTCTTGCCCAGTCCCTGAGTTTCCCACACTGAGTTTGAACTTGCATTCCTCCTGCCTCAGCCTCCCAGATTGCTGGGATGATACACGTGCACTACACCATGCTGAACTGTATTCTCTGTTTGTATTTTGCAATCATCTGAGAATTTTCTTATCACCTACTTTAGATTTTTAAAATTTTGAAGCGATCCTTAAAATACATGTAATAAAATCTCTCTAGCATACAGTTTTAAGAACTCTGTTTGACTCCTGTTAATCACATTGCTTCTTTTATACCCTTGTGTCTTTCTAAGACCCCTTTATCGTTTTATTCCTGCACATTTTCCTTACCTCTTTAGTGTTTTAACCAAATCTCTTTTTCTTGACACAAATTTTGCAGGTAGTTTTTATTCTGTTTCTGGTGTATTCATGGCCAGCAGGGAATGCAGGGCTTTACATCAGCTGAGCCTCTCTGGCCCTTCCATCCTCCACTGGAATCCAGAGGGGGCAGAAGAGCCCCACATTTGACTGTCCTTTGTCCTGTCCCTCTCTGACCAATGCTCCCGGCCTCCAGCCACAGCTCTGTCGGGTGCACTAATCTCAAAATATACCCAGCACTCCGGAGGCTGAGGCACCAGGACCCTCCTGGATTTGAGTCAATATCAAGATTGTGACTCCAAAAGATAGAAAGAAAGCAGGTTCTTTCGAAGGCTCATTTTATGGGACAGCATTTTTTTGGTAACTTCTTTGTGAGACCAGAAGACCAGTCTGACAGTGCCCATCACTTCCTTCCCAGGCGCTGGGGCTGAGCTCAGTGGAGGACCCTCATGGAGGCTTCCAGTCGCTTCTCGCCCAGGTGCACAAGCCTGGTGCTCCGTACTGTCTCAGCATCGCCAACAGGCTCTTTGGAGAAGAGAGCTGCCAATTCCTGCCCGTGAGTTGAGTCTAACAACAGAAAGAGTTGCTGTAAAATACCTGGTGGCCCCCACCCAGCAGAAGGACCCTAGAGAGCTTGGGGACCAGACAGGCAACCTCCTGTCTTGAGATGACGATGCCTCCTGAAGGGTTCCCTTTGAGAAGCCCCAGTGGACTGGACCAAGAGCTCCTCATTCACATCTGCTTTTCCCAGACTCAGAACACCCCCACATAGAAACTGGTATCCCACATTCCAGAGCCTCCCAGTGACCTCTCATCAGCCCTTCTCAGGGTTTCAGAGAACCAGGGAGCGCTCAGCAGGCTTGGCAGCTCCCAGCCTTTCCTGCAGCTCCCTGGCTCACCCGCCCTGTCTCTGTCCCCAGTCCTTTCAGGAGTCCTGTCTGCGCTTCTACAAGGCCAAGATGGAGCCGCTGTCCTTCGCCAAAGCCCCAGAGAGGTCCAGGAACCACATCAATGCCTGGGTGTCCAGGAAGACTGAAGGTCAGCAGGCAGGGTCCCTTCTGCAGCTCCATCTCCCCGCCTCTCCTCCCGCCAAATCCTCCCTGTTTTGGGCTGAACCATCTGCACCTGCTCATAGCCTTCCTATTTCTGCTCACAAAGGAGACAGCAGCAAAGCCAGGCCGTTTTCCCTTAAGGCTCAGCACTTATTCCCCCATGTCCTCCTGGAATCTTTCCCACTCTTGCCCTCTGGAAGCAATGATAAGCAAGGATGCTGTCAGCTCAGGAGAAGGCAGCCCTGGAGGTCCAGAGGCAGAGGAGCTAGTCTGCTTGCCCACATTGCGTTCTTGGGGATGTCTGCTGCTAGGTCTCCAGGCTCCCCCTCCCCTGGCTCCCAGGAGCCCCTCCCATGGGCATCAGCCACCTGCCTCTGTCAGCTTCTGGCTGCCTCTGTCAGCCTCATCAGTGCCCAAGGTGAGCTCTGGGTGTCAGCATGGAGCCTTTGGCCACATGTCCCTGGGACACCTAAGGGGACCTCAGTGCCCGCCCTATGCATCTCTCATGTCCTGCCTGGCCTGGTCTCCAGCCTGTCCCTTCTCATCTGGGCTCTCCTCGGGTGACTCAGCAGCCCCTCACCTTCCTATTCAGGTGGATGCTCCCCAAGTGTCCCCATGCATGAATGCCTTGTCTAGGGGCTGCTTCCCACTTTTCCATCTGTAAGGACACTTACTCGCAAATTGGAAAACGTGGTGTTTAATGTGCTGGATGTTGTCCTAGAGTTTGTTCATCTCATGTTTAAAGGGAGCCACTGAGTGTAGGCTTTGCTTTTCTCCAAAGGCAAAATTCCAGAGCTGTTGGCAAAGAACTCCATTGATGCTGAGGACAAGCTGGTTCTCATTAACGCTGTGTACTTTAAAGGAAAATGGGATAAGGTTTTTCGGCAGTGGAACACAAAGGAAATGCCTTTCAAAATCAACCAGGTACGCAGAAGCTTTAAACAAAGTCATTAATAAAGAAACAGTTTGGAAAAGTTTAACTCTGTAAGGGCATTAGTCGTTAAAAATTCTTCAAAACAAAATATTTCAGAATTGATTTTTAACTAGGGAGAAAAAATGATGGGAGTAAAGAATATTTGCTGCTGCTAATTTTTTGCACATGCCACTGTCCTCTTGTCTGATAATTTCTTCTGCATTCATGACTGCAACCTCAGTGGGAAGATTTTCCTCTGAGTTCAAGTTGCCTAAGTAGAAGCAATAAAATAAGTGTGTTAAGAGATAGTTAGATATGTATGGGTCACTGGGCGGGGCCAAGTAATTTTAAAATTAAAATGAGTATTCATTTGCATCGTTAGTGAATTTAAAAGTTACTAATTCATATTTGCAAATTCCTAATATTAAAACCAAATGGTCCAGACATTCCTAATATTAAAGACTATGGTCCAGACATTTTTTAATTTCTTTTTTTAAACTTTTTTATTTTATTTTTTGTCTTTTTGAGACAGTGTCTCTCTATATAGTTCAGGATGGCCTTTGTAGCCCAGGCTGATCTCAACCTCACAATGATCCTCCTGCCTCAGCCTCCTGAGTGCTAGGATTATGGGAGTGCACACCCAGTTTGACATTTTTAACTTCACTTGAGCTTAGCCAAAAGGCAGAGAAGTGATTGACATTTTTAACTCTCAGTAGAGTTAAGATAATTTGTCAAGTCATATAATCCCTTAAAAAACAGGAAATGAATTATAAATAAATAAAACATTTAAAATGATTATACGTGTTCAATACAGTCCATTTTACTTTTTAATTTTTTTTTTCACATTTAAAAAGTAGTCCTAGGCCTGGCAATTTAGCTCAGAACAACAGCCTTCCTGGCAAGTGCAACATTGTGAGTTCAGTCCTTGGTACCAAAGAGAGAGAGAGAGAGAGAGAGAGAGAGAGAGAGAGAGAGAGAGAGAGAATAAAAAGTTGTTATCTATGCTCTCATTCTTAAAAACAAGATGGAAATTAAAAATTTTCCTCTTGCAACAGCCACAAATATATACTTCTATAATTATACAAGATCTAAACTGAAGACCATAGTAAAGACACCCTTGTGTTTGCAAGTGTGATTCTGAGATAAATACTACTTCTCTGCAGCTCTGATGTGAGTTTTGTACGTTGGAAAACATACCAACACATACACACACACACACACACACACACACACACACACACACACACACACGTCATTTGTGAGAGAGTTTATAGGTTGTGTCTCATGCCTGTTTTGAAAGCATTCTTAAGAGCCAGCCAATCCTAAAACCTGAGCCAGCCAATCCTAAAAACTGAAGTCTTCACAACAGTCTGCAAGGCAGACAATTAAATCGGAAATAACCGAGAGCCAGCAAGATGCCTACACAAATTCGAGGCAGCAGACAGGAGCACCTCAGGGGCAGCCTGCCTTAGAACTGATCTTGTCCTGAGGATTATGGAGAGCGGACTTTTAAACTTTCAAGTGCACACAGTGACCTGGTGTTGTCTCCCCAAACCACGCAGTTATGCAGTCATCAGTGATAATTTTGATGCTCAATTAGGTGAGGAAGGAAATATTATTCAAAACATTGCAATACGGTCTCAACCAACTTACACGATTTATTTTTGACACAAATACGTAACCTCAATGTGAGATGTCTAACTGAAGCGAGAGCCTTCAAAAAGCCCAACACAGTATCTCTTCTAAGGTTTAGGCTGCACCCAGAGCTCCCCATGTGGGCAATAGCCTGCCCCAAGGGTCACTGTGCCCTCCACAGAGCCTCGGGCTGCTGCACGCCTGTGGATCAGGTGCATGGACATTTTAGATTTTCCCCTGCTCTTTCTTTTGTGTAATCCACACGGGACAGTTGCTGCAAAGCCTGCCATTCCAATAAGGACAAATGGCACCTCCTTAGTTTTTAGGATAAGTTTCGATCCCTAATCTTCATCCTGGGATGAAAAAGAAACATCAGTGTTGCTTGACACAGGGACTGAAGAGTCTTTCTTTACCTCTCTAGAACCTAGCCTTGCCCCATCGTCTATTTTAAATTATCAGGCACTTCATAGAATGGTTCATTTTTTTTCGAAGGATCCAGGGGCATCTCAGAGCCAGGAAATATCATGTGGAAAATTTATAGCAGCCCATTCTGTTTTGCTGGGTGGAACACTCCCCAGGCTGCTCCTGACTCTGCATACTCCATGGCTTTCCACGCCATGAGAGGTGCTCGGTGAGACTTCCGATGGGTGACCCAGGCACAGACACATTCCCAAGGTTGGCATGGGCTGCTCACACAGATGATTCAGGCAGGTATCCTGCTACTACTGGAGGAACCACTGACCACACTCCTCTCTGCTGGTCACCAGAAGGAGCAGCGGCCGGTACAGATGATGTTCAAGAGAGGCACGTTTCCCTGGGCCGAAGTGAGCGAGGTGCGGGCCCAGGTGCTTGAGCTGCCCTATGTGGGCCAGGAGCTCAGCATGGTCCTCGTGCTGCCCGATGAAGGTGTGGACCTCAGCACGGTGAGATGGGGGTCTAGGCCTGTGTGTCTGCTGTCCTGCCAAACCCTCTGGTGACATCCCTGTGTCCTTTCCACCAGGGCACATGGGCACACAGTCCAGCCCTGGCCATCCCTCTGTCCTCTCCCCGCCTAGGATGCATTTCTCCCAAAGTCACTCAGAGTCCTGCCCTGTTTGTCCAGTGCTAAGCACCCTGAGATGAGCAGCAGCCTGGAATGCTAAGCTCAGCTCCACTGATGAGCTGGGGACAGAGCTCGGGACAGGAGGACACCTCATTTGTCAGGAGGAAATGGCTGAAGATAGAGAGCTGCCCCAGACAGGGCAGGTGCCTGCAGAGCTTCATGCCCATGGGCCTTTCTCCCTGGCTCCCTTTATAGTGTTTTGGGACCCTCAACCCCTGGACCTTGTCATAATTTGCTTGGCCCTGTGGAGTGTCCTGGGATTAGATGGGCACCACTGCCTAAGTGGACATTCCTCTTCATGGGCTTCCTGTGACTTCTTTCTGCCCTCTGTCCCTCCAGGCTCTTGTCTCTGGGAGCAACTTGTATTTGTTTGGGAGGGGCGTTCTACAAGTCAGTTTAGTGTTAGGTGTCCTTGTGTGGGTCAGCAGTGGTATCACAGTGACTCTGCAGGGAAGAAAACAGCTGAACACGTGCACAACTGTGGGTGCTACTGTGAGCCCTGGGGGGAGCTTTCCTTGCAGTGGTCCCGGCCACTCCTGCACCCTGTGTGGTGGCAGGGACACCATCCCGGCTCAGTGTGCCCGGTCTCTGGGCTCAACCATCTGCCTTCCCTCTGGCCTAAGTCCCCTGCCACTCATGCTCTCCTTGTCTTTCTCTATCCAGTTTCCCTTTGTCTCATTCCCTGTCCTTGTGGCTCTTTCCAGGGACTCCTTCCTGCAGGCACCTCAAATCCTTCAGCCAGGCTTAGCTAGAATCCTCATGAGGCCCCCACTCTGTGCTTTCCCTGCAGACAGACCCAGTCCCCTGCAGCCTCAGGCCCCTGCCCGGGGTGGCTCAGGACTACAGTCCTGTGTCCTTGCTTACCAGCAGTGCTTTGTCCCCTTCAAAACTAAGCCTTGTGCACAAAACCAAAGACTCAGAGAGCCCTAATCCCCTCCCAACACCTGAGGCACAACCCCTGGCACAGATGTGGTTTGGGGTGGTGGGGATGGGGCGCCTCCCTCACCTTAGAAAGTTGGACCTGGTGGCATCTGAGCAGCCCATGCAGGACAAGCCCGAGACCCCATAAGCTTCCAGGTCCCTGCAGGGCTCAGTCTATGGTAGTCAGTACTACGTGCCCGCCAGAGGAGGTCAGGTGCCTGTGGCGGGACAGCTGTGGGTGCCAATAAGTCTAATTCTGTGTTGCAGGTTGAAAAGAGCCTCACTTTTGAGAAACTGCAAACCTGGACCAGTCCAGAGCAGATGGAGAGGACCAAAGTGGAAGTTTTCCTGCCAAGGTTTAAGTTGCAGGAGGACTATGACATGGGTGCCGTGCTGCAGGCCCTGGGCATGGTGGACGCCTTTCAGGAGGGCAAGGCCGACCTGTCCGGGATGGTGGTGGACAGTGAGCTGTGTCTGTCCAAGTTCGTGCACAGGAGTGTGGTGGAGGTCAACGAGGAGGGCACAGAGGCTGCGGCAGCCACAGCTATCAAGTGTGGATTTGATTGTGATATGGAATTACCCGAGTTCTGTGCTGACCACCCCTTCCTGTTTTTCATCAGACACAACGCGACCCACAGCCTGCTGTTCTGTGGCAGGTTCGCGTCTCCATGAGGGGTGCATCCCTGTGCCTCAAATCCCATCCCCAACTCCTAGAAGCTGGCTCATTAGAAAATGCAAGTGGGGCTGACTGGCACCCGTCTGAAGCGTGGGTCAGCACTGTCACACAGCGCACCGCTCAGCTTTCCCTGCACTGACCACTCACTTGTGCCTCTTCACCAAGATCTTGGGACAGCAGAGCTTGGTGCAGAACCCAGGGCGCAGAGCAGACCCCATAGCCAGCCTGCAGGTTTCCTAGACGGTGGCCAGTGTCTCTGGCACTGGTCACATGTGCTACTGACAGCAGTTACGGGTGCTTCCTCGTGCCTCAAGCTCTGTCCCACACTTGCCTTAAGCTGACTTTCTAAGTGGTAATCCATGCTGTAGATGGTAGGGTTCCTGTGACAGTTGTCCTGGTGCTTGGGCTATAATTAAAGAAGTGCACATTTTAATTTTATTTTATTTGACATGTACCATTCACCAGGCTGTGCCGAAAACCAAAACCGCTCTGCGTTGGGCCCAGGCACACAGCCTGGTTTCCTCAGCAGCTGCCCTTTATCTCTGTGCCCAACTTATGTCGCTTTTGTGGCACTCAGGTGGCAGTATTTGAGATCTCAGTCCTGTAGGGATGACACCTTTATTCATGGGATTTTATTTCTCCATCTTCAATGCTAACAGTTAAATTCCAGGCAGCACATAAAATTCATTTCAGACGTCATCTTCTTCAAGGAAGTTTCCCTTTTCCCCAGAACCTGGTGGACGTCTTTGAACTCACAGTGCAGCTCTTTGTGGCAGTCGCTTTATTTATTAACCCTCTGTACTCTGAGGTCGTCCTCACCCAGCCTTGCAGTTCCAGGGAGTGAGTTTCCATCTCTCCTATCTCTGTGTCACTGAGACTAAAATAATAAGTCATGGTGATATATAAGCTCTAACTTTTTAATGGTCAGATATCACCAACTTTTTAGGGTTTCATTGTTTGTGACAGTTACATAATAAAGTTAACCATCTTAAACAGTGCGTTCAGCGTGTTATGTGACCACCACCTTTTCCACTTCCAAGAAGCTTTCATTGCCCCAAAAGAAAACCGTCTCCACTAAGCCATGCCTTCTCATCTGTTCCTCCCCGAAGCCCTAGAGATCACCAATCTGCTTTCTGTGTCTGAACTTAGGTACTCTGAACATGTGATAATAAATGGAAGCATATACATGGCTTTTGTGTGTGATGTCTTCTTTTACTGTAGTATTTTCTAGACATCACTGTAGCATGTATCTGTTCTTTGTCCCTTTATGGCAGTATAATCGTCCATTGCAGAAATGTACTAGGATGTTTTGACTCATCCATCTGATTTTTTCGCTTGCTCAGTGACATGTAAATACTGGTGCTGTTTATCTGCATGTCCACGTGTTTGTTTGGGTGCCTGTTCTTCATTCTTTCGCATAGGTGCTCAAGTACAAAGGAAAGGAATTACTGGGTCCTTTGGTAATTAACATAGCCTTGCAGGGAAATGCCAAACTGTTTCCCACAGTGGCTGACCATGTACCATTCCCACCAGGAAGGTATGAGACTCCGACTTCCTGTGTGCTCCTTTTTTGGGGGTGGAGGCAGTGATAGCCCGTGGTGGTCTTGATTTGCTGATCTGCAGTGACTGCTGGTACCGAGCATCTTTTCGTATGCTCGTTCGCCTTTGCAGTCTTTGTTTGAAAAAATTGTGTGTGCAAGCCCTTTGCCCATTTTTAATTGATTCTTTTTGTTTTTGTTGTTAATAAAAAGTTCATTCCTTATTCTGATAATAGACCCCCATCAGATACCTGAATTGCAAATATTTTCTCTCATCTTTAATGTTAATAATGTTCTTTGGTGCCTGAAGATTTTCATTCTCAAAGAGTCCATGATATCTAACTCTGCTACAGTTGCTCATGCTATAGGAGTCACATTTAATAATCCGGTTGCCAAATTCAGGAGCATGAAGACTTACCCCTACGTTTTGTTCTAAGACTTCTAGGCTTAGCTTTTATATCTAGCTGTTGATCCATTTTGAATTATTTTCTGTACACCAGGTAGGGATCCGATTCGCTTTTTTTAGATATGACTAGCCTCTTGTTCCAGTACCTGCAACTGCTTTTGTTTATTTATTTATTTATTTATTTTGTACCTTGAACGGAACTCAAGACCTCGTACTTGTCAGGCAGGTACTAGGTCTAGAGTTCTGATATTGAGCTGTATGCCTGGGCCTTGTAACTTTATTAATTGAAAAAAATGCTTAAGTAAGTATTATAAAGTACTCTAAAGTATAAAGTAGAAAAATACTCAATTTCAGTATATAAGATCCATTATTCCAAGAGCATTACAAGCAGACAAAGAAAAAATTATCAAAAGTCACAAGAAAGTAACACTAAGATATACAAAGAACTCTGTAGCTCAGGCAGAAGAGTCTGTAAATGAATAGTCAGATATACAAAGTTCCAAGAGACAGTGTTGTTTACTTAGATTGGCATCAGATAGCAAGTTGGATGCTACCCAGCCACCAGGAAGCAGGGCAAGAGGACCCTTCTGAGACCAGGAACAGGATCAGGACATCCTCAGGCAGTGTCCCCGTGTCTGTGTCCTGGGCTCAGCAGGCTCTCTCCTAGGGTCTGCCGGTCCATGAAAGTGTGGGGACTCAGGTGCTCACTGAAAGGTCATTTGTGATGGCAAAGAAATGGACCTGCTCGTCCATGTCAAATGCACTGGGTAAGGAGGAAGCACCTGCAGTTAGGGACAGTCTCCTATTTTCCTGCTTCCCTTGCACTAGGCTCCCCTGCAAATGTCCCATCCCTTTTGAAAGTCAGCACACTGATGTCCAATCTTCCCAATCTGAAACTTTGAGGGATGCATTTGAACCACAGTGCAAACCTTTTCTGTAGATACAGACATTCCTGACATCGTGCACTGTGTAGCGGCACTGACCTGCTTCAGTTCTTTATTATCAGTGTGAACTTTCTCCTGCATTTTATGGCTCTTGATTTTCCTCTCACGTGAGTCATCTGTTCACACATCCAATGTTCCATTTGGGGTGCTAGTTTAATTAAATTTTCAATATTTCTTTGCCTTTCAAAGATAAAATCTCTGTTGCATATTTTTTTCCCTAACTGTATGACTTCCTTTCAAGTTTTGGTATGATGTCTTCCATACAGGCAGGTGTTGTTAATAACCAGATGCCCTCCCAAAGGCTCAGGAGCTCATAGGTGGGGATTTCCAGAAGCAACCGGATTGTGGGGACACAATAGTCTTGGTGGATTCCTCCACTCACAGTGAAGCAGGGTTGGAGGAGTGGGTCACGGGGCAGGGCCTCGGGGGTCTATCTCCTTCCTCCTCTGCCCTGCCATGAGCAAACCCCTCTGCCATGCCACCCTGCCTTGGAGCCAGCCAGCTTTGGAGTGATGGACCGAGACTTCTACAAACCGTGGGCCCAAAGTCACCCTCTTTGCCTTTCAATTGTGGTTGCCCAGTATTTGCATCCCAGGGATGTAAAAGCAACTAGCACAAAAGAATTTTTTATTTTTCGTTTTTCTCTGTAGCCAGTGTTTTCTACCTGTGACTTCTAACAACGCTTTCATTTTCAGAACTATTTTCCAAAGGAGAAAGCAGTCAAATAGTTTTCTGCTTTTCTTCCAAATTTTTAGAAAATCATTTTGGTCATACAATATGTTTGGAATTTGTTTCTGTCTTATTTGTGACTTATTCACAAGGAACCAACTTCTTAATATTATTCATAAAAGAATCTTCAGTGTTCATATCTGTTTTTATTTTTGACAGTGAATTTTTCCGTAACTTTTCAGTACTCAAAATAATATTTTTAGCCTTGAATTTTTTTGAAGGAAAGGATGAGAGTAACATTAAACATATAAATTATTGAGTAAACCTGTCTAACCTGCAACCTTAGTCTACTTATGTGGGAAAGTGGGAAGAGTCCCCATGTATTCCAGCCTTTGAAGCAATTTTTTATTAAAATCCTTTAACATTTTTATACATGTCTCACACAGGTTTTGTTTTTCTTGTTCTGTTGTTTATGGAGCTTTTTTTTGTCATTATCTCAATTTTAAACATATTCACTTTCCCCAACTGCTTAAGTATGGCATGTAAGTGCACAAATGAAATTTATGTGTGTTTATGTTCATGTGAACAATTTGCTATAGTCTTTTACTCATTACCGGGTTTTTAGCAAATTTTCTTGGGGTTTTACTAAGTGCTCCCAGATACTGAACCCGCTAGCAAAATGTCTAGTCTCCTGCACAGAGATCTGGTGCACAGCTAAAAAGGAAACCAAGAGAGAAGCCAGTAGGAAAAGGCCCCAGAAGGTCAGTTGCTGGGAGGAACAAAGTGCCTTTATCCACAGCAGCTCTCTGCTGGCTCTTACCGAATGCACAAGGAGCAGAGGCAGGAGTGCAGTGTGGACAGGGGGTCGGGGTCGGAGGTGCAGGAACCCTCACTTCGGCAGACCAGCTTGCAAGACAGAAATAAGGCATTCGTGGGTCAGGAATAAAACCATAAGTTTTTCCATATCTGCTTAATGGGTACTTTAGTATCCTTACAGGCAGCTGAGTTAGAAATATTACAGGCAGTCAGACAGGAGCTAGTGCAGGAGACTTGGTATCCTGCAATCCTGGAGAACACAGACACCTTTGCTGAGACCCGACCTCAAGGCAAACACAAAAGAAATGTGCAACCATGCCCTAACCCTGAACATCAGGGGTTGATATTCCAAATAGGTGTGGAAGTCACCATCCCAACCCTCTACTGTAGGAGTCCCTGCTCTTTAAGCATGGCTGCTTGATACATGACTTGGTTCCTCATTTGTCCCAGATTGGCTCAATTATACCTGAACAATTAAAGACTCATTAATTGACCATAGTTCTGTCCCACGTGTTTCCCAGCATGCAAGTTCTCATGTTTCCCCAACTTTAGACCTGCCTCACTGTGGTTTTGCTCTATGAATGTCCCTAGAAAAGACAGAGTCTTTAGTAATCCATTGAGGAGCTTTTTGGTCTCTCCCAGACAGAAGCTTTCTTTCTCTCAACAAATATATTCCACTCTTAACATCCACTGTTCCTAAAATTCCTTCTTAGGTAGTTTGGGAGTCTTATGCCCCCGTATCAATATCTTGCTGAGAGAAACTTTTTCCGGCTGAGAAAAAGACTTTGCCCTGAGTCTTAATGCTTCCTATTAACAAGGTCCCTGGCTCAGTCATGTCCCTTCATTAGCTGCTTAGCTGACCTCAGGGGCAGCCCTTAGAAGGGATGAGGGTGTCGCTGACACACCAGCTCTTTAGCTGGACTCCAGTTGCATTCCCTAGGCCAATTAAACATCAATGTGTCTCTGTGCGGGTAGCACTGTGTGCACTTCTGTAGTGATTATGCCAGGTTTAGTAAGGAAAAGCAAAGTGCCTGGAGCAGGGGATGCAGTCGGGGGTCCTCAGTGCCGAGGCTCCCACAGGATCCTACTGTGTCACTGTACAGCAGGCGAGTGTAAGGCTGCGTGTACGAACCAGAGGCACACGTTCTGCTGCTGTTTCCGTCACTCTTGCTGGGTTTGCTGTGCGCTTACTTCCTTTCTGTTTTGTCTCACCCTTTTTGCATCACCCAGACACTCTGAGGCAGGGTGCAGTGGGAATCCTTGCAATGCTGTTTGTGTTAAGGTAGATGCTGATACTGTCCAGTATTAGTGACCGTGTGAGGAAATGGGGGCCTTACTCACTTTCCGCAGGAGGCCAGCCTGGAAGGAATCAAACAGCCTTTGAGTGTCAAGCCAACATTCTCCTTGGCATGCATTTCCATGCCTGGGTGTCTGGTCTACAGAAATTTTTTTCCTGCATAATTACATATGCTCCACGGTTTTCTTCAGAGCATGTAAAAATGCAGGCCCTGGCACAGGCCCAGGCCATGGAAGGAATTCATGCTGGTCTCACAGAGCGAGTTGCTTCTCACCAGGGTAATCAGGAAAGGGCAAGGCTGGCTCTGCTTTGGTCTCCTGACTTCGTGTTTTGCCGTGTGACCTTTCTCAGACATCCCCCTGAGTAGGCCACACACTGTGCTGTGCATAGGTGGAAGACCTCAGGAGCGCTGGCAGATGCCAGTGCCGTGCTCGTGGACTGCAGAAAATGCAAAAGTAATAAATCTCCTTTCTTTGTATACTGCCCTTCTTCTGTGTATTTTGTAATCTCATCAGAAAAC